CTACCAGGCACATGTGGAAGGGAAAACGCCAGGGGCTGCCTTGGTTTTAACAATCTATTCTCAAAGTAACCAATCAACTACCTCAAGAGCAAGAACTCACTTACCACCTTGAGAATCAACACAGTGCTGTGAGAAAGGTAGTGAACTTTCTAATGACCTAATCACATCTTAAAGGTTCCACTTACCAACAATACCTCAATGGCAATCAAATTTCAACCTGAGTTTTGGAGAGGATAAAACCTATTCAAATCATGGCACCTGGTGAACACTTTCGTGTACTTAATTTTCGTGTAATTAATCCACTGAGTCATGAGGATGCAGGGGAGTGGTACTGTGAGAGAAGAAGGCTGGAATGGGCACAAGAAGAGGCAGAATGCTCAGGGATTCCTTTCCAGGAAGGACACACTTACTCAGTGACGGTGGTGCGCTCATTTGCTCCCCATTCAAACAATTAGGTATTCTCTTTATACCTTAGTCTCTACTTAAGGAAGGAGACCTTTGATGTGTGGGATTGTCTTACCTGGGCTCAGCTCTCCAGGGACAATAGAGCTTCTATCATTCAGCCCTGGACCTGAGCCACAAATTGCTTTAGAAAGGGTAGAAGTCAGCTACCCTTTCTACTTAAAAAGTAAGCAGTAGGTTCTGTAGGTTTGGGATGCCTATAGAACTGTTAGTTTTCCAAGTCACTTCATAGCAAGGGACCTTTAAGCTGGGCAGTTCTAACTTTCAGCTTATTCCCCTCTAGTGCAATTAAAAGGACTATAAAGGGAATGATGAAAAAGACCTTTGGGAGCCACTGTTTCAGCATGCTTTACTGTGCTTTGTGACTTCAAATATAGCAAAATGTTACCAATTCCAGTGTTTCCTTTGATTAAGGGTATTGCATCAAAGCCACCCAGGTCCTAAAAGTCTTTCTGGGTCTCAAGGTGTGCTGATAAGGTATTACACACAGTGCCATGCTGACAGCAAAGACATGATGATTTTTATTTCATTGAAAAGGCTCCCAGAGATCTTCCCTTAAGGCACCTTTGTCTCTTCTGTAATATGGGCTAGCAAAGTACTTCACCAAAACTACCACTCTGTCCTTTAGGACTCACAGCAGTCTGGGCTCTGCAAAGCCTTTCCCAGCTTCACATTTGTGATCCCTTCTTATTCTTGTGGCATGTCATCTAATGTAAGATAGGTATCCCAGGGCACCTAGTCCACAGCCCTCAGTTCATCATATTTTACTCAGTACCTTTTATATCCAACACCATACTCAGTGTGGACAGGGCAGAGTTGATGAAGGACAGTTGCAGGTAATGTTTCCCACATTATTCTCAGATTGTGGATATAACTGAATTAGTTCAGAGCAGAAAGATACTTTGGGGTCCCCTTCCTTGCCCTCAACCTCTGGAATCTTATTTGGCCACAGACAAAATGAGAGCCCTTGGGGCCATCCACAATTATGCTTTCTGCTGGGGAACATGGATACTCTGTCACTGCTGGCCAGATTTCTGAGCCCTGAACCCTACTGTGTTCTCAAGAACTGAGAACATCTATTTAGGTGGAGAAATCTGAGGGCTGACACCTAGTGTTTGTTAAGCACTTAATATGTGCCAGGCACTATGTTAATCATTTTACTGTCTCCTCACAGAAATACAACAATGGAGGCACCATTATATTCTCACTTTCAGGAAGAAAACAAAAACAAATTCAGGCTTATAAACATTACCAAACTTGTCTAAAGTTTGTAGATATGCAGAGCTGAGGTTGGAACCTAGGTCTCAGGTTCCAAAAGTATACCTTTAACTATGGAGCTGAAATCAGGATGGAACTCTGCCAAGCAGGGAATACTGGGGTTTGTGGTCTGTGTCACAGTCTTTATACTTTCCTGAATTTCAAATGTCACATAATTATATCTGTGGTGTACACTTTACTATTTGGGAATGGTTTAAGTTTTTTTTGGAGGAAGCTTAAACCAGTGAATAAATAAACACTCTTTTTACATTCTAGTTAGAATTTTTTGGAATTTCATAATACATATAAAACCCATTTTCTAGGCCTGATGTCATAGACAATTCTATTTTTAATGTTCTGCGAAACAAACCTAACAATATAGTTTGACTAGTGAAACGGAATAAGATCAACACCTGGAAACAAATCCTCTCTCCTGAACTTGTCATTCAGAATCATTTTAACTACTTAGTTTTAAGAAGTGCATACAGGATGTCACAAATGACCTCATGATACTACCTACCAACTAACTATGTTGTCACTTTCTCACTGCTTACTTCTTTCCAGTTTATTCTTGTGTCAATTTGCAGTTAATATTTTCTAGTCTTCAGCTGAATTAATAGAAATGCTGCTCCTGGTATCCATCAACTGAAGGTCATTGTTGTTGAGTTCAAAAATTAAAATTAACAGTATCCTCATAAATCCAAAGGTTGAATAACAGTAAGATTATTATGCTCTTGTTCAAAAAATTGATAACTTTGCTGGCATCCTATTTAGCATAGAGTGTGGAGGGGGAGGGATTTAGAATCAAGAAGGTAGAATTCTCATTCCTTAAGCAACTCCGGTTATCAATGGCGCTAAGTGGCAGGCACGAATGGGATGGTACATTACATAATGCTGTTAAGCATTAGTGTCCCTGATTTGTGGGAGTTACTTCCACTTCCCAGGTGAGAAAACAGGCTCAAGAAGCTAAGTGACTTGCCCTTGTTATAAGTCTTGCAAAGGGCATGTTGAGGTGGCTAGCCATGTCAGCATGGCTCTTAATTTCTTGATGTTTGCATTCTTCCATGCTTTTTCTCAAAGTGCTTTTTATCTGGTGGAGAAAATAACAAAATATGGGAAAGATGTGTATGCAGATTGAGAACACAAAAAGCAACTTACTCTGCTTTGAGATTCTAGGAAGCTTCATGGATAACAAACAATGACTTAGCTCTTAAAAGATGGAGTGCACCAGTTTTATTGTATTTTTACACATGTGTATAGTGTGCTTTGGTCATATTCACATCCCCTCATCCTTTCTTAAGGGTGAAGAAAGAGTAATAGAGGGAGTGAATTTAACCAAAGTATGCATAGCTTATATACATGTATAGAAATATTACAGTGAAGACCCTTTGTAAAATTAATGTATGCCAATAAAAATTAAATAATGTTAAAAATGATTCAGTGTGCCAGAGAGAAAGAAGCAGACAAGAAGGGCTCAACAGTAGCAGATGAGAAGCTTGTGAGGTATAACATGGCATGACAGATGTAACAAAAGTAGTAGGAGATGAAAGTGAAACTGGAGGTCAGTCTTTTTTACATTTACTGTGTAAATGACTTTATCCTGGGCCAGTGAAAGTCATCAAATATTACCAAGGCCAACGTATGGTCAGGTAGGTTATTTAGAAAGGGCAGCTTGCAAACAATGAAAATGGAGGAAGACAGAACAAAAGTGGGTGGGTAAGATCTTTTCATCCAAAGACAAGAGGAAACTGATTAAAGAGAACAGATTAAAAAGGCAAAGATGGGTGGAATGGACTACTTGCTGAGTGAATTGAAGGAGGCAGTGTAGGAAAAATGAGTTCACACTTAAAGAGTCCTTCTGTATACTAGCTGCTGAGATCAGCCTAACAGGAGATATCTCATTAAAATCACAGAGCAAGTGTATGTGAGCAATACTTTTATTATTCCAATTTCACAGAAAGAAAGACTTATGCATGGAAGGTCAGAACAGTTGGTGAATTGTAGACAATTTGAGCCTAGGCAATTTGATTGCATAAACCTTTGTCGATTGCATCATAAACCTTTGTCGATTGCATCATAAACCTTTGTCGATTGTATCACATGGCTCATTAGATGAGTTCAAGGTTTTCGTTAACTAAGGGAGGACCCGGAGGAAGATCAAATAGTATAGAGGGAGAGTTACTTAAATGGATTTTGCTCATTTTGTGTTAAATTTCTTATAGGGTATCCATGTGGAAGTATCTGTTGTATAATTGAAAAACAGATAAAAGGGAACTGAAGATAAAGAAGTTGTTGCTGTAGAGATACTGGTCAAAACAAAGGACTACATAAGCTTGTTTAGTAGTGGGGAGGGAGGGAGAAACAAAAGCAGGTCAGTGATGAACAGATGCTGTGAAGCTCACTAAAGACCATGTCATTCAATAAGCACATACAAACATACTGTTTCCCAAAACATGAATCCTATAAACTCAAGCAGTCTTTATTTCTGATTATACCTTTTGTGTCTTTTTACTCTTCGTGTGAAATTTATTTGTCTGACTTCTCAAAATCACTGCCTTACTGAAGTGTGAAGAATTGTTTTCCCAAAACAATAGCTCCAGAAAACCCTGTTTTTTTCTAGAAAGTTAATATTGTTGATGTTGTATTTGTTCCTCTACATATTCATGTTTTAAAATTACTATGATTGAATATGTCTGCAATAGGGAAAATGATATTGTTGAATTAGAAGCAAGATAGTTTGCTTCTTCCAAACTTTTCTCCTACTACTCCTGGTTCCCTTTTCCCCTCATCTTGCTGTACACTGCTCTTGCCAGCTGTGATGCAGAGGGAATCCCAGAAGACAAAAGCTGGGTGAGAGAAAGATGTCACATTATGACATGCACTCTAGTGGTTTCACTAGACACAGTAACACCATTCTGTTGCTGGCATTTAAAGTGCCATTGTTGGGTGACAGGGGACAAGTCTCAGTGAGGGAAGAGATGCTCCCATGGGGAATGGTTTAGCAAGCATTGTTTCTACCTTCCAACTAGCAGAGAGAATTCCTTCAATAGCATTGAGCGGTTATATAGTCAATTCAGAGTAATTCAAGATAGGACTGGTTGAACACCATTCTTTACCTCTTTCCCGCTGTGTTGTGTATCCTGCAAGGGGACACACATCTGTGGGGCTGGCAAGGCAGACACTGGGCTTGAGAAGGGGACTTTCTTACACAGCCTTATTGTTCCTGTGCCAAATCAACTCACAGTGCCAAGGGAGAAATTTAAAGAGTAGTTCAAAGGTATCTGGTGGTTCTACTGTATTTTATAAAACTTTTGACATTTCTCTTTTTGGTCATGGAAAGATCTATTGGCACAAACAGCACAGCCACAAAGTATTCTTTTGATTTTAATAGCTCATCTTATATATATTTATATATATATTTATATTTCTTCTTATCTTCATTTCCTCAGCAAAAAGGGAAATAAAAATATTGATCTATAAAATAAGCAGATGATAACACAATGCCAAAAATAGCTATGTTAAGTGCAAGGGTGAAGCTTGAAAGCAAGCTAAATTGCAACAACATATTGATTTAACATTTAAATACAAGACTTGCAATAAAATAATTCTTGATATATGCTTCATACTTTTAGCTTACTTTTTTAAAAACTACTCTATATACACATATCCAGTTGTAACACTTGACAGTAGCATTATGGGGCATGATACAACTTTGGCACACACTGCAGGTATGGGTAGTTAATGTCTATAAATGATACTCCTTTACCAGGTAGAGCTCTGTACAGCCAGGTGACCGGCCACCTGATCCCACATTGTTTCCCCCCAGAATCCCCAGAGTCCTTCTCAGAGCTGTCGGGGACAGCAGCAGAGAAAGAAGGCTCACTGGATCCATATTGTGTTTCCTCTCTCGGTTCTCCTGGGTTCCACTGTCAGCTCTCCAAATGTGGAAAAGAACTGCTCCATTTCCTTCTGTAGCATGTCATTCCTTTTCTCGGCATCTTCTTTTGCTCGCTCAGCATTTCGCATCTTGATTTCTATCATCGTGAACTTTTTCCTTTCTTGATCCAGTTCATCATGGAGACTCATCATTTCTGTCTCCAAAGTCAAATTTCGCTGTTCTAAGCTACAGAGGAAAGGGGCAGGGAATAAGAGATAAACTGATTTTATTCACTTGAAATGCAAGAGGGACACAAATATTTTCTTAACTTTTCCAAAATACTCAGGGAAATTAGTGAAGCAAGATTGATTGACTAAAAAGGTTTGTTTTTTTGTGGTATTAACTTACTATTTACAAACATGACTTACTATCATTTTGTAAAAGGCCTTAAGGCATCTCTCAGAATTGCTTAGTTGTCACTCAGTGGTGAATGAGTGAATGACAGCACAGAGAAGACAAAGACTCAAGTAGTACAGCACAGAAGAGGCAGAAGCAAGAGACAGCCAAGCCCAGAAAGCTTCCAGGATGGGAGCTTTTTCTTACTTAACCTCCTGTCATTCACTATTATAAAGAAAGCAATCAAATGGCATTTTCCTTCAGTGAAGCTTACAAAAAATTCTTTCCAAGGAAGTAATTTTTTCCATCTCCTAAATAGCAATTTTGTTGGTATTCACTTTGCCATATGCTATCTTTTGGTTGGAAATTGATAAATGGATGAGAAACATAATAATATATATATGTTATGCATATATATATATAGAGAGAGAAAGAGACAGAAACAGAAAAGAGACAGAGAAAAAAAGAAGAAAAAAGAGGAGCAGGAGGAGAAGGGAGGAGGAAGAGGAAGAAGAGGAGGAGGAGGAAGCTAAAAAAGAAGAGGAAGAGGAAGAAGAAGAAGAAGAAGGAGAAGAAGAAGAAAAGACAATGACGATAATGACTGTGGAGTCTGGAGGCAAGGAAGCAGTTGAAGCAGCACAAATTATTGAGGATTCTAGTACAGTATTCAGGAAAACTTGAACCTGGGGCCACCTGATCCCCATCTCTGCCTCTCCTAGTGAGCATTCTTTCCCCTACATTACATGCTAACAACATAAAAAGAATCTGTTTGTAATGTCTTTGACCACGGCAGGGTTTGGGGATTTTCAAGTCTCTAGTCCAAGGCTATATTTCTGAGTCCTGGGCTCCATTATCAGTGTGGCATCTGATATCCAGGACACTATGATCACAGAACATTCAGCAGATGTCCCTTAACTTACCCAGACTGCTTCCATGAGGAAGTTGCTAAGTAAACATCTACTTTGACCATCTCACGAAAAGATGTAGATCGATGTGAGATTTTAGCCTAACTTATTCCTTGTATTATATAGCTCACACCCCAATAAAGCTACAGTCCCTTGTTCATTTTAATACATTTCATGTTATCTCTTCTGAAAAAACAACTTCCATTCATTTGAATATTCAGAGTAAAAGTCAAAGATAGAAAAATGATCCTGCAAGGCCCCATGTCACTTTGCACTTGTCACCTCTCCGAGCTTTTCTGAATCTTCAGGGTCTGAAACTGACCCTGGAAGATAGATGCTGTCTTAGAATTTAGGGATTCAAAGCATTAAAATGAAAGGTGTGTTTACTTTTTAAATTTTTATTGCTGCATTTACTTTTTTAACCCTGTTTTTTACCCTTTCCTTGTAATTAGCAGGCTCCTTATTCTTCACTCATCTCCTTACAACCCCTCTCTTTTGAGCCTTCTTATATAGATCCATATATTTAATAAAAATTGAAGATAACATTATTGAACACCTATTTTGTGCCAGGGACAAGGCTCAATGACATCTCAGAAGTATTTGAGGTAGATACTCTAGTATTTGAATTTTTCCCGTTAGGAAGAACTGAGGATCACAGACTATACTAATTTCCCCAAAGTCCTACAGCTTGCAAATGAAAAGTGAGGACTTGAACTCAGGTTTCCCTGACTTTGAAGACAGCATCTTTAGCTCCTTCTGAGACTCTGTCCTACAGTAGGAGGCTCTTGTCTTCTCACTGGCAGTTATGACCTTGAGAATTTCCTCACCTCTTTATCCTGGACTCGTACTCTATCTTCTGTTTGGTCATTTCCTGTTTCAGGCTGGAAACTAAACTATGCAATGCACTGTGGTTGCTGGTGTTGTTACCAACAAAAGTTTCACTGTTGTCACTGCTGCTGGTGGCACGACTACTTCGGCCTCCTACACTCCTTCGGTCACTTTTGTTTTCATAGTCCCCAGGGTGGGAAAGGTCATCCTGGGGAGGCCCATCCAAGATGGGATCCTCAAAGTTTCCACCATAAAAGTCTTGCTCTGGGCAGGTGGTGGTGGAGGAGCGACAGGAGGTGGAGTTTTCAGGGAGGGAGATTTCACATGAGGAAGTGGACCAGGTGGCACTGTCCACGCTCTGTTTGTCATCCAGGTTCATCATGGAGAACTGTTGGTGGACGTTATCATAAGTGGAGAGCCTATTGTGCTGGCCTGACTCTCCAGTTGGCTCCTTCTGCTTATTATCTCTCAGGGTGACATAGCCGTTGGGTAGCCAGCTCATGCTTCGACCATTCACGGGGTTCCCAAGTGTATCAGTGTTCAAAATGCCCATGCGTACTGTTCCATTCTGGACACTGTGTGTACCCATTTTGGTTCCAGTACCCTTCAGAGAAGAGGTCCTTCTGGCTTGTAGGCTCCCATTGGGGGTGGTCTGAGTTTTTTCTAGGCCTTCTGCATTGCTACTGCTGAAAGACCCATTGGTGACAATCCCACTACCCTTATTGAAGGCTGGGTTCTTTTTAACCATGAGAGGAGGGCTCCTGGAGACATCCAGCTTGTGAACACTATTCCTTGGACTGTTGGTTTTGCTGCCTGATAGAGCTGGAGGGGATCCATCATCCATGCTGTTTCTCTGGGGAGACTCTGATTTGTCCCAAGAGCACCTCCTGCCAGGGCTGTCCTTGGTGTTATTGTTGTCCTTGTTCTGTATTTGACCTATGGTGGCTTTCTTCTGAATTTCATTGTTGTTGTTGCTCACTCCATCTTGGGGCTTGCTTTGCAGCTCTGCATCTTTGGGGAAGAGGCGATCATGTTTACTGATCATCATTGACATCAACTGCTGGACCACCACAGTGCCTGGAATTTTATAAGAAATAAAGTAGTATAAGTGAGACAGTTTTGATTTCTTTCCTATTTTGAATGTACTAAAGAAACATGTTTAGGAGAAATTCAGTAGAAGTTAAAATTTCTTGAGCATTTATTCAGTGCTGTGAATTGGGGTAAGCACTTTATTTTTGTAGTTTGGTGAGATTTTAAAACAAATGTATGAATATAAACTGTTATTGTCACAACAGTTTAAAGAGTAAATAAACTTACCAAGGTCACAAAACTGTTAAGGGCCAGACTCGAGGTGAACTCGGACTAATCTAGTTCCAAAGATTGGGCTCTTAACCATTATACGACATTTACTGCAAGTTTGACATTTAATTATGAGAAATCTTTCTTAGGAAGAGATCACTTTGACCTTTGATCTGATAATTGCCTTGAATCAGCAATATACTTTAGTTGTATCTTTAAACAGAATCCTAAATAACCTATGATGGAAACATGGTATGTCTTTCTCATATAAGAAGATAAAGAAGTCCCATGACTCATTTACTATTCAAAAGCTTTAGGGCATTTTAAGTGACATCAACCAGAACAGTAACAGACATCACAAAAATCCTCTTCTGCATAAAAACACTAACAAAATTTTTCAGAATTCTAGAAGTTAACTAACTAATGAATGGAAGCAATGTGGAGAGTGTTTATTCAAGAAAATGGGCCCAATCTCAATAAGAGCCACAAGCTATGTGGTGTTTTAACTTGCTGTTCATCCGCCTTTCCTTCCCTAGCTTTGCAGCTTGAAAACCACCAGCTCAAAGTCACAATGAAAACCAGTTCAGGGCAACCCCTGAACTTGGCAGAGCAGCACTTGCACTCCTGCAAAGTCTCATTCCCAAAGAACTATCATTATTTCACCTCTCTGGTGGTTTCCTGGAAGACCCTATTCACAAGGTTTGTTATGTGGCCTGACTAGGAGCTTGCCCACATGAACAACCTTTTCTTCAGGAGAATTCATGAAAAATACTGAGAGGCTCAATTATCTTTAGCATCATGACTACCTGAAGCAATGGGTAACAGTTGAAACAAATAATAAACTAACCAAAAACTTAAAAGGAAAACCATGGAAATGAGATTTCTAGGTGGGGGTTTAAATGGTTTGATATAGTCTTGGGAATCCAGAAAATGACGATGATACTTAGCTATGCGTGCATGCTCAGCAAAGAACTTAGATGTCCCTGTCCCTGAGCTCTCATCTCTGGGTGACCTTGAGGCTCTGCACAAGCAGGAGTTGTAATCTGCTTAGCTGAGTATTGATTTGATGCAAAACGCACACATAAGTCCTTAGTAGAGACAGGGAAACTTATTGACTCCAGGCATTTAAGGAAATTTCTACCTAATCATTAGCTATCAACAAAACAACCTAAGCAGAGATGTCAATGGCCACACATAACTGAAAATATAGACTTTAAAGAAGTAGTTCAGAAAAGATACTAAATAAACAATGACACAGAAACAACAGCGTCTAAGGATAGGGGAATTTAATATCCAGGGATCCCACATATGGTTAAAAATGCCCAGTTTTCAATACTGGGCATTGCATGAGACATGCAAAGAATAAAATACAGCCCTCACATACAGAAAAAAAGAGCTGACTCTAAGGAACCTCAGACCTTAGTATTAAATCAGTTATTTAAAATGTTTCCAAGGCACCTGCACATCCATGTCTATTACAACATTATTCACAATAGCCAAGATCTGGCAACAGCCAGGATGCCTCATAACTGATGAATGGAGTAAGAAAATGTAGTATTTATATATTAATGAAATTTTGTCATTTCCAGGTAAATGGATGGAACTGGGGAACATCACCTTAAGTGGAATTAGCCAGGTTTAGAAAGTCAAAGGTCACATGTTTTTTCTCAAATGTGGAATATCGATCCAACACAAATACAAGAAATGTTACATCTACATAGGCATATATACCGAATATGTATCCAAAAGTGGGACTGTGAGACCAAGGGAGGAAGAAAAGCAGGAAAGAAAGACGGGGAAAAAGTACATCATATCTGTGTAGGAACAAGACACAAAGAAATACAAGATAGGGGGAAAAGGGTGAGGATGTGCAGTGGAGGGGTCACAGTGACTTAAGCACAAAACATGTATGGGTATAACACCAAGGAAAAAATCCTAGTGACCAGTGAACAGACACCTAAACAACAAAGGACAAGAATGAAAACTAGGTCAGGTTAAGAGGAGGTCACTAACACGAGAGGGAAGGTAAAAGAAGGAAGTAAAGAAGGTGAATATGGTTCATGTACTTTCTATACAAGAATGAAAATAGAACTTTTAAACCCATTGAAAGCACTAAAAGAAGGGGACTAAAGTAGAAAGGAGAAAAATGCAGGGGATAAACCAATTCAGGATATAATACATATAAACATGGAAATATCATAATGAAATCCCCTGTATAGCTATCTGAAGCAAACAAAAATGTCTTTTTCAAAAATGGAAGACAGGAAAGTTAAAACAGGTCTTATCTGGGGGTTGGTACCAGTAGGCTGGGAGAGGGTGTAAGGAAGGGTGTAGGAGATGAATATGGTGGAAATATTAAGTACTCATGTGTGAAAATGGAAATGAGACCTGCTGAAACTGTTCTAAGAATAGTTTCTTAGAGAAGGAAGGTGGATAAAGGAGAATGATGCTGGGGGTGAATGATAATTAAAAAAAAAACATAAAATGTGACCAAAGGCTGGAAGTGTGGCTTGAGTAGTAGGCATGTGACTACCAAGTGCAAACCCCTGAGTTCAAACCCCAGTACTGTTAAATAAATAATATGTGTACAAATAACTAAAGGAAACCATATCTAGAAAAATCAAATGAAAGTGAGAATAATGTCTCACACAATATAGACTATCAAAAAAGAACAGGAAGTATAAAAAGGAACCAAATAAACTGTCTAAATTGAAAAGTACAATAACTGATAAGAACACAAACTGGTAGAGCACATCATCGACAGATTTGAATAAGTAAAAGACAGAATCAGCATATCTGAAGATATGCCAATTAAGGTTATCCAGCCTGAGGAGCAGAAAGAAAAAATAATGAAGGGAAGTGAATAGAACCTCAGAAATCTGTGGGACACAGATATACCAGCATGCATGGTGTCCAAAAGGGAGAGGAAAAAGAGAAATGAACAGAAAGAATATTTCAGGGAATAGTAACTGGAAACTCCCTAAGTTGATATGAAACATGGACACACCCCCACACACATCCAATGAGCTCAACAAATTCTAAGCAATGTAAATGCAAAAAGATCCATACTTTGACACATCTAGTTAAATTGTCTTAGGTGGAAGACAGAAAATCCTAGGAACATCAACAAAAGTGACTCATTTACAAGAGATTCTCACTGAGATGAGCAGCTGATACTAGAAGGCAATGTAAAGGAATTTTTCAAAATTTCAAATATAAAGAAGAAATGAAGAAATTCTGAGACAGACAAAAATAAAGAATTTGTCACTTAGCAAGCCTGCTCTAAAAGAACTATAAAAGTTTCAGGAAATTTTAATGAAAGAGAATGCCTTCAAGAAAGGCAAAAGTAACTCAGGTAATATTGTGTAGAGGAGTTGATCTTTTATTAAAAGAGGTAATTAAAAAAACATTTGATTCAACAGGTTCTGTGACTTACCAGCAAAAATTTCAAAAAAAACATCTTCACAGGTTCCTCTTTGATATCAACTTGAGCTCCCATCCTCTAACACTGGGTACACAACTAGGCATCTTGACCAGTTTCTCAAGCTGCAGTCCACAACCCTCTAAGGTGCTTATTCAGTGTTAATTTTGCTCATGTATCCACAAGAAAGCAGCATGGGTAACTCACAAATGTGTCTTTATTGTTTTAACTTGATCTGAATCAATTGGGCATAGATGTATAAGTAACCAAGGTAAAATTTAATACTTGGTCTTTTTATTCCAAATTATGCATTTGTCCTAATATTCCAGCTGCTAGAATTTCAAACTGTAGTAGTAAGTAAACTTGACATAGTTCCAGATAGGAACTATATATAAGGCAGCAATCTAGGGAATCACCATCAAATATCACAGAGTTTAGGAGAAAAAAACCTAATGAAATTAATTTTATCCTATCTATATATGTATCATTCCTCTTTCGTTATCTTTGACTTTTTTTATCATATTTTCAAGGCAATGAATCCGATGAAAAGATTTTAGAGCAGCTAAAATGGCCTCAACACTGTATTCATTGATGCCATTGTGTATTTCATGCTATTTTACTATTTGCCCATGTGGCAGACACACTTTCAAAGGCTCATAGCTTTCATTATATATGACTCTGCCCAGTATCTAGGGAAAATGAATCTTTTCCTCACCACTGGAATATTCACATTTGAAGCATCAGTACTTTCCACGGTAGCTATGAGCTCTTTGAAGCATTTAATTCATTGAACCGCAACATTCCCAAAGTCTCCATGATGAGTTTGTGGACAGCCATGATGAAGTGTATCTGCCACAATTACAGAGTAATTGCAGGGCCCACCAGATTTAGAGCTCTTTTTCTTGTATGTTGGGAGGCTTTGCTTTCATCTGGTCTCTGGGATAACAAATGGTAATAGTCCCTTGCTAAGGGAGTTTTACAAACTCATGTGGTAATAACAATGATATGTGCATGGCACTGTGTGACATCTTTTTGCCCTTTTTCTTCCCTCCTCTCTGTCATTTTCTTCCTTAGAATGCAATGGGAGCCATTAAACACGAATAATGAGGTCAGAGTGCTTGTAATCACCAGCCCATTAAGCAGAGCCCAAGCAGATTCTGGAACTCCTCTGTGCTACATGATCCTGCAATTCCATCCTGTCTCATATTATTTTATATAGGTTGAATTTAAATGCCATGTTATAAACACTTTTCTTCATAAACATTGACTAAGAATTTAATTTTACTTTAAAAGTAGGCATATATGTGCAACACTGTATGCATTATATAGGTATTTATAAATGAGCAACATTCTATAC